GTACAGCAACCACAGCAGATCTTATCCATGCAAGTTCGCCGTTTGCGTTGTTCTTGTGGGACCATGAGCATATCATCATCGTCAGAGTCATAATGATGTCCACCACCTGTTAACTTGACATCCGACATGCTTGCACGTTGGTTGCTACCGTGCCAACCCATAGCACGCTCTGTATCACCCACATCTTCAAGCGATTGTCGGCTATGAGGATCAAATGGACTTGGTGGATAAGGTGATTGTCGCATAGGTGGTGGGCTCATCATTGATTGTTGGTGTGGTGGTGGTGGAGGTGGCGGAGCAGTATACATTTGATTGTGATAAGAGGACATGAGGAGAAAAAGATAATATGTAATAGAAAGAGAGAAATGAAAAAAAAAAAAGTGAGTGGTAAAACAAGAAGAAAGAAAAAGGAGATGCTTGCCAAGGCGACTCGAATCCTTTTGTGCCTTTGACACACACGCACACGCACTACTGCTTATACAAAAATAGATGTGTTTGTTTCGCATTAGCTTTCATCTCCCGCCAAGTCTTGACTCTTGTTGCTCGCTCTTTTTTTTGAATGTGATCCCGGGTTTTGCTTTTTCGGTATTGTTTTTCCTTCCATCGATTCTATCACTACATTTCTCAATACTATGGTTACATCCGTAAATTTCATGTCGATCGGTAAAAGCAATACAAGAATGCATATTCTTTTATACAATCACCGCTAACTCTGACACAGTCATTGGGGCGACATTTTTATATCTTGTCAATGTCCTAACGCATTTCGGCCTATTGGGTGATCAATGGTCAGCTGCTATGAATAAAGATAAGGGTGATGCACATTGGTGGACGAGGCGATCCAATACACATCCACGTATTTTCGATCAGGCTCTCGAATATTCATTGTATGCCGTTCAGGTGAGTGATCATGCCATGCTACTTCTTATTTGAATACTCGCTAAAATCATGGATCACCATATGCACAGACTTTTTTCATTATGGGCATAATGAATCTCGCTGATGTGGAATGCTACACTCATGCTTTCCAGCTTGGTGTGTTTTTCTTTATTGCATATATGGTACCCGATGTCTACCGCTCATGGGTGTGGGAAGATCGACCCTGTCGCCTTTTGGCTGTCAAATCCATTCAAGGTCTCTTGAGCACTGCTGGCTTAACTACACTGTTGCATCATTTTGGCACAGTCATCTTTTAGCTTCCTTATTGGGGATGATCAATCAACACCTCCCCTTTGTAAATCCTCCGAAACATTGTGAATAATGAATTTGTAAATACACGAGACAATTGATACTTTATATACAAAAACACGTGGAATAGGGTGTGGGATTGTGCTTTGCATATTGGAGCAAGTGCTATGGATAGCACAAGGAAAATGAAATAATGTTTGTGTGTAGGGAAGTGCAATGTGCAGCAAGGAGTAAACTTGTATTCTGTTTTCTGCAATGTCTCTTTTTGGTAAAGTTCAGGGTAGTATAGTCTGCTAGGGTGGTAGATATTTTTCGAGTATCATGATTCAAGCACACGCTTTGCAAACTGAGGAAGAATAAATGATGCCTTATGAATGGCAGCACTATAGTAGCGGCATAGCTTGTTTTCTTCATCCTCTGACCAGCAACGCAAGGGTTCGCTGGGATCTAAACTAGGATCCTTGGAGCACACAATGAACCCAATTTGACCTGTAGGATACGATGGCACGCAAGCATATGAATAACGCACTTGGGGATAAATGGTACGGTTAAATTCCACGGCTTTACGAACAGTTTCCATATCAAGCCACATGACTTCAGCTTGAGTGATGAAGATACCCTTGTCAGTCATTGCACGCTTGAGCATCTCGTAGAATGCATATGAGAACAAGCCTTCAGCAGGGCCATCTGGATCCGAACAATCGACAATCACCACATCAAAGATATTGAATTTATCTCGCAAATACTCAACACCGTCTTGGATTACAACTGACACCTTTGGATGATCAAATCCAATAGCCATTTCACCCATGTGTTCTTTGGCCACTCGCAATACCGTTTCGTCAATCTCCACTAGCGTAACCCCTTCCACTTCAGGATGTTTGACGACTTCACGCAACACGCCACCATCACCTCCTCCAATGACAAGTACCTATAGGATTTGATGTATATTTTGATGAGTTGATTGCCACAAACATAAACATACAAGAGAAACATACCTGCTTTGGATTAGGATGCGAGTTCATTGCCAAGTGAGTAATCATCTCTTGATACCTGTTGAATGTGAATGATGATCAGGTCAATGCATAAATGGGGGTGGTCCGTGTGTGTATGCACACGTTTGCCTTACGAAAACTCATCACGCTCTGTCGCCTGGATAACATTGTCTAATACAAGTACATTGCCATGATGTGTAGATCGAAAGACCATCACATCCTGATATTCGGATCGCTCATGGAATAGTATCTCTTCCACTTGTAATCCAGCAGCTACAGGATGGATTAAGCAGGAACGTCAACATGTCTGTGCTTGAGTTGGGGGAGGATGTTGGGGGAGTGAATAGTCAATAGGTAAAATAACAATTACCTTGACCAGGCCACATTTCATTCTTTTCCATAAACCAGCCGTCTTTCACCAAAGGATCATTCATCTTTGTCATTGTGTGTTGTAGAAGAGGAAGAAGAGTGAAACAACAATTTTCTACTTGACTCGCTCTCAAAAAGAATGGCCGAGAAAAAGAAAGTTTGCACACATGACCCCAAATGTGCCTTTTTGAGTCCGCAAATGATGTCGACGATACTGGTGACGGTGTATGACATCGTCAGCCACTCACCCAGTCCAACCATTGCCTTTATGGAAGGAGTTCCTTGAAACATAACATCTTAACAATAATCAAACAAGCATATTTTTGTAAAAGTATCATGTATTGTAAAAGAATGTATCATGTTATTGTAACAAGTCTACAGGACTTAAGGATTCTTTATTGTCACGTTTACTATTTAACATGCTTAAGCGCTTTTGGCGAGCTCTATAATTGCAACAATAAGTAAAATATCGTTGTACCATTATTCATCTCATCCATCTCGCGTCCCTTTCCCACTCTTTGTCCCACGACCCAAAGTATTTTGACTTACTTTCGACATCAGCAACAGCTTGATCCAAAATTTGCTTCTGGATAGCAGGGTCCTCGAGATCTTTCTTGACCTTTTCGATCAAATAAGCAGCCAATTGCTTCTGTTCACGTTCACGAAGGTTTGCTTCATGACGCACCCACGAGTCGAGAGTACCCTTGACTTCTTGAGCAACAGCAACTTGCTGCTTCAATGTAAAAGCTTCAGCTTCAATGTGGGCAGTTTCACGAGACAACTCGAACAAGGCCTTGGTGACATCAACGAGATCCTTCATTTGACCAGCTTCATCAATACGCTTTTGCACAATGTTCTTGTGTTCAGCACGAGCTTCATTCAAAACGGTCTTGATGCGCTAATGGCGTCATAATAAAAGGTGCCTGACGTTAATGATCATATCACATTTGCATAGATTTCATCATCACTCCCCCAGTCATCATATCAGATAACATATCACCATCCCTCTTGTAGATGATTCTTACCTCAATGTGATCATTGGCCATGTTGGTGAAAGGCTCACGAGTATACTTCAAAAGCACACCAAGGAAACCAGCAGTGGTCAACAACACCAAAGATTCTTCGTTCAAGATATAAATCTCCTTGGCAATCAAAGCAGTACCCACAGCAGTGCCAGCAGTCAAATAAGCAGCCTTGGCAGCAATCGAATCACCAGGAAGCATATCGAGAATACTGGACTTTTTGGTAGCAGCTAAAGTATCGTTTTGGTTAGCAAACAAACATACAAACGATATCGTACTTTACTTACCTTCAGTTTCAGTGCTGTACTTGCGGGCACTACAAAAGAGATAACCAACAATGAGCATCGTAACCATGGCAACTATAGCTACTCATGTACGTACGCAGCAATAGCAGCAGTGCGGCGAGTTGCATTCAAAGCGGCAGGGCGAGCGGCAATGGTAGCTATTCAAAATAATGAGCACGCGCGTGATAGTAAAAGAGAAAGCGACCCATTTGCAGTATCGCATTTCGCGTCGCTGTATATCATTTCTCGGTTGTCGTACCTGCTGCATTCTTGCTCAAGAGTCTAAAAGCCATGTCGTCTATATTTTCATCAGTAAAAGACTGTTGAGTACACCGATGGGTTGTTCGTTGCTTACAGGATCAGTCTACAAGTGGAAAACCAGGATATATATGACACCCCTTCTCCATTTCCCGCCTTTGACCAGTGACGTAAATTAAGACTTGCACAGAATTCAATCCATTACATCTCCACATACACATCGCTAGTAACCATTATAACTGACATGATGTTCATGACGACTTATATATCATTTAACATAATCATGTGTCCATCACTATAGTGTACATTAAACAATATCCTGCCACTGCTGCAATATCTTGTTGGATGATCATCCATAGCCAGCAACTTCATTCTCAACTAAAACGATTCTTTTCCAATAAAATATACCTAGAACAACTTGGAACGCATAATGAGAAACGAAGTGTATGGATCATTGTTTATTATATACCTTACCTTACATCCCTAGTTACCCATATATCTTTATAACACAATATGCGAATCCAATTATAAGCTATTCGACCATGCAATTTGAATCGGTATACACTCATGTTTTTAACTACAAGTTCTTCTTTCCATGCCGGTTTTATGTTGTATGTAAAAAAAATTTGGGTTTCAAAGTGGTCCGCCTGGTGGGCAGGAGGACCGCGGTGATTCAACAACCAATAATCAACAATCTCATCTTTCTCCTCAAATTGCTCTCGATTGAGCTGCCATAAAAAAATGCCGTAAACAGCATTATCTTTGTGTACTACTCCGCTACACAATGATGTAAATTAAATTTTGATACGAAAACTTTGAAACCATATATGGAAATTTTTATGTTTATCATGCAACTTAATTTTCCAAAAAACAACTGAACACATGATTCCATGGTGTAGTTGGTTATCACACCTGTCTAACACACAGGAGGGCGCCGGATCGAGCCCGGCTGGAATCATTAGTAAATCACTCTTACAGAGGTGATCTACCCTTTTGGTTTTCGCTGGGAATCGTGGATCACGTGATCATGATGCTATGATCTATTTTTTTATTTGACCTGTGAATCAATGGCCAGAATATAAAGTAATGTAAGCAATTCATTGTTTGGCTATAATGGTAGATAGGGAACCCATTTTTGAAATTCAGTTGGCAACCCAACGAAATGTTTATCCTAGTTGCATCATGTTGGATGGATAGTACACTACTGTCAGAATGGGTTGGATGATATAAGCAGGATAGAGACGTGGGAAATCCAAGATGATTGCTTGATTCATCAAGCAATATGATAAAGAATTTACCTTATGCGATGATCAAATATCATAATCACGACACATGATAACAATGAAATCACATAATAACCACAAAGATCTGCTCTCATTCACTGGGTTGCAGAAAGCACTATTCATTGTGATACTCGCATGATTTTGAGGATGAGGAGGATAAGATACCAAAGAAGAGAGATGATAGAGATAAAACACATACAGGACTATGATAGCCGACAGCATCTCATTATATGCGCATCGCGAGTGTGAAAAAATCTGTGATCACCAAAAGAATAAACGTCTCTTTGGAAACGATGTATGAATTGATACATCGGTAAACTAATGAATTGAGAAATGTAAGGGAGCATGTACATCAGGATCAAACACGATCTGATATGCAAGAATCCGAATGTGATGGTTGTTCATGCATTACCATCATCCACAATGAAACCATGGCATTCATCTGTCATCACGGTATCTTTTATTCACCTATCAAGTATTGCTGATGAAATAATGTGTCATGATATGAATAATACAGCATGATGCAAATAGCAAAACTCGTTTGGGTAGTATAATGGGGTGGGTAATTTGGATATCAAGAAAAGATGGTGCAAAAGGGTGTGAATAACTGCACCCGGCTTTTTTGAAACCTAGGGTGGCATAAGAATTTCCTACTAGTTCTACCAGTCCATATGTGTAACTGGGATTGTTTTCTCCTCGTTTGTAATTTCTTGCTCAAAGGAGCAATGCTCAGTACTAAAATCATGAATGACTATATGCGCAGCGTGCTCAATTGTTTCTATTACAATGGCGTGTGTGATGTTCATGCGTAATTGAGTGACAATAATCATCCCTTAAAGGTACGGAACATGGATCTGCTATTATATTGGCTCGCGTTATCATTTTCTTTGTTTTACCATGCGCGCGTCCACATCAAGAAAGTATGTGTTTGCACCACGTTGCATTTTATTTTATTGCGAGATGCTATTCAGATAGCGTTGTATGCATTCAAAGGATTAAAAGAGAAATGATTTATAAATGTAGTAGTTAAATTGGCAGCTGTATATCTCAAATGGATGAATCGTTTGATTGTTGGCAGGAGACACCGAGAGCTACGTGTGTGCTTTGCTTCCTTTTCCTTCTCTCCTAACAGGTTGCTATTCACGCCATACATTGAGAAATATATGTTGAAACTTGTTCTTATTGCTGACAAACACGTTTATTGACATAGTTATGAATATCGATAGGCAGTGAGTGGTGTGTGCTACAAATATGGATGTCCAGATTTAAAGAAAAACTTCGGGCACCCAACGCTGGTGAAAAGCAAAACGAATCACATGCTACGACTTATATCTGTACAGGCCTAAGCCTTGATCACCCTGTCAACGGGAGATCATCATTGTTTGGATCGTTTCACATCTCTAGAACGCCCCTTCCCTCTCTTCTTCGCTTTGCTACTTGGGTCCTTCTTGATGGTCTCATAAAAGGATCTGGTCTTTGCTTGTGTTCCAACATGCTAAGCATGATATACGCTTGATTATGTGCTGCCATTCCATCTCGATGAAATAAGTTTTGCATTGATTACATATCTTGACTCGGTAAGTGCGATTGCTCATGTAGGTGGTCTTCTTCTCTTTCCCATCTCTTGCTAAGCATTTCGGACATATCTGGCTTGTCATGTACTCATCAATGCGTACAATATCATAATTTCTTCTAGTTGCCTGTCGTATAATTGCATTCTTCATTGGAGTATCCATGGGTGATGGTGCACCCTTTCTTGATTTACTCGAAGCTGTGGCGCCATCTTCGCCGATTCCAATAAGCACCTTCCCCTTATCACTGGCAGTTTGTAGAAGCAAATGGGTTGTTCTGTCCACTGCTGAGCGTATTGATCTTCTTGTGTCCCATGCTTTGCGCTTGGTCGAAAGGCTGTTGTAGAAATTCCTCACCATATGTTGATTATTCCCCGCTTATGTAACACGCAAATAGCCTTGATATTGATCCCAGGTACCAGCTTGCTTATTGTCATCTACAATCCTTGTACTTGTTGTCCTTGACCATATTGCATATCTTTCCAGAACCATCCCTCGTGGATTCTGTGCATATTCATTGCCAGACAATGTCCCCATAACAGCAAGTCGCATCTCCACCTGTAGAAGAAATGTTGTCATCAGTAAAATCCTAGTAGCTATTGTAACTTCCTTACCAAATCAAAGTCTTTTTCGTCATCTTTGCGTAAACCAAATGCGTTGAGTATGTCAGACTTTATTGTCACACACGATGTCAACTTCTCATCGTCCCAATCGACACGGGTAATGCGCTTGAAACATTATTTGATTAACATATCATCATCAACATTTGTATCACCAATACCTACCAAGATATCATTTGCTCCACCATAGATGAAGAGATCACTATCATGGGATATGATGGCTGCTTTTTGTCCCCAGCGGGATGCCAGGTGTACTACTTGGGAATCGGCTTCTCTCAACGAACAAAAGTAGGTGATTGGTGGCATACGATCAGTACCAGTGGATAAGGAGAGCTGATGAACATTGCTTCTTTGATCAAGAATCTATACAGAATTCACATTTTAGTGTCGTCGTTTCGTTGTGTATATAAAACAGCACCTACCTTGACAATCAAATCCTTGGTCTCTGATGTAAAACGCACATGTGCTGCTGCATGCTTGTTTATGGTACCAGTATGATCACCTTTCTTTCTCAAAAGGCGGTTGGCAACATTCAGATGCTCGTTTGACAGTGCATTTCTCCTGACATGCGTGGATCGTTTTAGGTTGAAAGGCTTCACACCATCGAGTACTAGGCATACACGCCGCTTATCTGACGTGAGCTTGTTACATGCATGAATCACTTGATCGATGAATCCATTGATGGCTTTCTCGAATCCAGCTTGTTTGATCTCCACAGTTGTATCGTCCATGTTAAAGTCTGGAAAGATAAAGGTGTCAACTGGGAAGCAGAAACTATATAGAACACACTTACTTTTCTTGACTTGCATGTCAAGCTTGAGCTGTTCCTCGGCAATTGACAACTGCAGGAATGAGAAGAAGACACAATTGAAATCAATGAAGAGCATGTCAATGTCCCTTTCGTCAAAAAGCTCGACGAGTGCAACGTTGGTTTGGAACGGATTGGAAGTTCTTGATGCCCATATCTTTGAAGGAAGCGTGAAGAAAGAGGGACGAGTGTAATGATAATGAATAAATGTCGCGACCACGTTTTAAACTGGGAGTTTGTATAACCATTCTTACCTGATTCATGCGATACGCTATAGAGAGCTGGATAAAAATGTTTGACACGGGGTAGAAAGTTTCTCTTCCTATTTTGATTATCGAAACGGCAAATAATCAAAACAGCTACAGCGCATGATTAAGTTGTACACATTAGGATCTGTAAGCAAGAAGAAAGAAGAGACAATAAGTCATGCATGAGATCCAAATCCTTTATTTCAGTGGTGGTTATTAGACATATGATGGATGATGATGATCAAAGTGGGGGGGGGTGTATGTGGAATATGCAGCTAAGCTTTAAAAAGAAGACAAGACGCAGGAAATCACAAACTGCACAAGCACACCAGTGTAATCTTTGGTTGTTGACTTAGATCTGGTTGATTTTTATGTACATAACAAGCCAGAGAACTTTACTAATGCAACACGCTTTGCTTGGTCAAAACTGATTCCTTAAGTCGAAAATATAATTATACCGTGCATAACTATATCGAGCAGGCACTGTAACTGTTTCTTAGTATCGAAAACGCGATTCAACAATTGAGACATATTAATAAAAACGAGAAAGAAATGCATTATTCCATGATTAGATTGATGTGATAATCTTTATTGGTAGATGATACACGGCTTCTTATCTAAAAAAGGGTAATATGAACAAGCAGAGAAATATAATTGATGTTTTCAAAAAGATATTGGATGTGGTGCCCGAGATTCACGATGCATGCTGCCCAAGGGTCACGTATAACCAAAATCACGTGGAATAGTGTAGTGCCCGAGAGGAGAATTGTGGTGCCCGAAGAATTTGTCCTCCTCCCGATTCATGCATCTAATAGCTCACTCTTTATTCTCTGCCCACAAGCACGCCATTTCGAAACAGACATGTGCACATTGCTACGTTTAATATTCGTGTTGCAGCCACAATGTGCTTTGTGTAGTAAATGACAACTCGCCAGCGTTACTTGAAGTGATGCATCCAAGTTTATGTTTGTCACTGCAACCTTGTTATTATCACCCACGATGCCAATGCTCCACGCGAATGCGACATTGACGACCAGCACACACAAACGTTTTACGGTATCAGTCATTGTGGCAACACTCTTATTGCTCGGCAAGGACCAGCAATGTTATTGTCATTAGCAGCTTATCCAAGTGGACGACTACCTAATATGTTCATCCAAGAATATTCAATCTTCACAACCCAAACCATCAAATATCAATGTAAAGGATCAGTTTCTTAACCGCATGATCGTATGGATGTACCAGATCCAGGAAGATACAGCGTGATATAAACACTCGAAGACGGTGGAGTTCGTGGACATAAAACAATGAAATCATCGGTTACCAGCAGCTTGAGAGAGAGATCGACCATGACTATATGAAAAAAAAGTGTCGATCAATATAGTAAGAAGGTACTTCTATAAGAAAGTGGGTAGTTAAGAAACAGAC